ATCACCAATGTCCCATTTATTCCCAAATGTTCGCAGACAGTTATTTTGTAACACGACTGAACCCCTTCTTCCTGCGGTGGATTATGAAGTGCTTGGTCCCATGATGCCTGCCCCAACCAATAACCCTGCAACCCCGGTTCCTACCCAAGAAAACCTTCTCCCTGTGCTCACTGCCAATCATGAAGATCCTGATTTTTGTCGTTACCTACAGGCTAACTTTCACGTCGAATTCGAGTTCGAGCAAAACCCCACATTCGACTCAGGTGCCAACCAGCAGTTCGAATCCCCTGCAAAGACAACTACTGCCTGGGGTGAATGGAAAGACTTTTCGCATGGCTCTAACATGCCCGTTTACCCTCATCCATCACCCAATCCCTTGATCAGTATTTATTGTCCTCATTATGATGAGGCAGCGAAAAATGTGATCTTAAAAGATGAGCAATTTCCATCTGATCTTCCAGGTTTTGGTGTGAACGTGGTTCCACCCTGGTCCAACGAAATCGGCTACGTGAAGCATGGTAGCCGTGGAAAACAACCTTGCATCAGTGCTGATACTGAGAAATTAATGACCAGTGGAAAGCAACCTTCCATCAGTGGTGACACAGTGAAAATAATTTCATCTTTTTTCCCCGGTGATTCATACCGCTTTGATCTTATTGAGATTTGCAATGCTGTACACTTCGATTCTGATTCTGATTGTACCAATACTGCAAGGACTCGTCATCCTCAAAAAAGGTACAAGGCTGTTAAGGAGTGTGCTGCGTGCGAATATGTGGGAGGTCAAGAACGTTGTGATTGGATGAATCGTGCTATAGGTCAAACAAAACAGGAAGCATCCCCAAAGATATTCAGAATGCAAAATCACCATCCGATGACGCTTATGGTAAGAAGAGTTGAACCTAGCTGGGAATGGATGTTATATTCTAGTATTAGTATGCACGTATGTCCATTGCAGTTCAAGTTGTCAACGTTTAAAAACAATTCTCTAGTCTTTTGCTCTATGTAAACATTCCTGCTCAGTTTGTACCACCGCAGAAGATATGGATGTTTATATTTTGAACCTAGGCATTTGGTAACTATATAGACTGCTATGTTATCTAAGTTTTTTGTATGGATGGTTTATGGAATCAATATCATGTATGACTACGCTGTGTATTTTGCACTTTTACTAATGTGTACCAGTTTGATTTATATGTATTCAGCAACAGTTGCGCTAATTAAATATCATGACAGAAAAACAAAGAAATCTGAAGACAAAATATATATTGAACTAATGCTTACATCTTCCAGAGCAGAAGAATGGTTCGACACTTCAGAGTTTAGATGAGAAAACATTGATTGTGAATTTCCTTCAAGATCCCCAGCTATACCATCTAAAGCTTTATGACCAGAACCATACATGTTTTTAAGCTTTCCTAATCTTCGTCGTTGTTCTTTAGTATCCTTCAAAATTAAGCCAAAAAATGAAGTTGTATATAGACTGACAATTCAATCTCAGGAATGCATGCAAATACAATCATCTTCTTGTCTAGGCCTTACCTCCGCCTTTGTTGATACAAAGGACTGCATGTCCTCTTCCATATCTTTTAATTGTTGCTCCTGTTGTGTTATGCTTCCCTGCCAGAGTCTTATGCAAGACTTCAAGCTGCTGAGTTAATTGGGAGTGAAATTTCTGGACTAGTATCCGGTTTCCATCTTAAATTTTGTCCTTGCGCTGTACAACACCATCCATGGTCAGAAAATAAATAACCTAGAGTTTTGAGGGAGATCAAAGAAGAACAAAAAAAATAATAATACAAACCAATTTTTGCAAATAAACTGGACACATCTGATGCAGCATTATCTAGCTCTGCTCTTAGCTCAATTGCACGCCCATCGAGTGATTTCTTTCAAAGTTAACAATGCAATAATAGTAAGCAAGAGTCATTTAAATGTACCTTCCAGCATGAAAGTTAATATATGCCAAACATTTAACATGAACTATTGTACAATAATCATGAATGTCGACTGTATAACTTCAAAGTAAGATGAAATGGAGAGAATCTATCTATGGTCTGAAAATGCAGATGGTGACACGACACGTTGTTTTAGCAAACAACTTTGCTCACCCGATTTGAGGAGATTAACTATCACAAATTCCTGCTCTTTGATGGACGCATTTGCTTCAAATGCTTCTCCTCAAGACCATACAGTGCATGTCCAGTTTCCTCAAGCTTTTTCTGAAGTATAAAGTGTTTAATTATCTCAGAACGAGAGCAGAAAGAATAAAGGACACTCTGTAAGTCGCTATTACAAATGTATTACCTCAGTTTTCACAAGTTAAGCATTCAATTGTACAGCCAAAAGTTGCTCACAACTGTAAAGTTCCTGAAGCTCCAGCAATTTCTACTCTCAGGCCAATGTAACGTTCATATTAGTTCTCACCCTGTAGTCAATATTATTAAAAAAGAAAGGAATGAAATGTTGATGGAGATACCTTGTGTTTTGAATCATAATCAAGTTTCATCCGCTCTATCTTTTCAGACATTGCCTACAGTACATAAAGAGTTAATGAAGTTAGTAACCAGTCAGTTGTGAACGTAGGAAAAACAGTCCATAATTCAGTTCAATGACAAGAATAAGACCTTCTTCTCTGCTTCTTCACTAACATAACGATGTCGTGGTATATATATTCCATTCTTCTCTGTGGCAGCATATACCTCTGAATGAACATAAGAAACATGTCATACATTTTAGCCTGTAGCAAAGTAACAATAAGGAATAATTAAATAACCTGTCAAACAAAAAAATTATATGGAGAGAGGGATAGAGAGCACATCAACGCTGGAATCAGTTAACAACCTTGCTTGAGTCGATGAATCTCAGAATACAAATCGTTGATCAAAACAGACCTCATCGTTTTTTGAATGACCTGAAACAATAAGTAACAACATACCATAACAAGGGTCAGATTGAAAGACAGTTCAACTAAATAATTTGAGAGAACATGGATGAGCTTCTACATCGAATCAATACTTCCTATAACTATTACCTTCATCAAAAGTTAGATGCTTTTACAGGCATTCTTCAAAGTCTTGGGCGTCTACATCGATTCTAACTCGAACCTCATCATTATCACCAGTTGCATGTTCCACATCCTGTCCATCGCACGGATCATCATCATGTGTTGAGGACATATCAAAGAAATCGCGTGGTCTCGTTTTGATTGCAACATGCCATTCTATATCTGTTGGGTCTTGTACATAGAACACTTGTAGTGCTTGTGATGCGAGAATGAAGGGGTCACTCGTAGACGACATCTTATTGAAGTTAACCAATCTAAAGCCATATCTGTCTGTTTTTACTCCCTCACCAGTATTTCTGGAAGTGCCATTAAACCAGTTGCACTTGAATAAAAACCACCGTGCGTTCCATATGGTACTTGATTTCAAATACATCAGTCAGAACCCCATAGTAGTCTACTACAAACTGGTAACAGGGTTCCGGTCACGTGGGCCAGCATAACTTGGAACATCAGACTGTAGGAAAACACCATAGTTTTGGTAGTTCCCATTGGATTGTGTGCCTCTTACTTTGAACCTGAACCCATTACATACAAAAGTCTTATATCTCCGACACCACTTACTAGGTCCATTAGCAAGCGCCACCAAGTCGTCAGTTGCACTTGGATCACCTGATTGTTGCAATTGATTAACCTACACAATTTACACCTAGGTTCATATGCATAGTTAAGAATTGGAAGCTAAATAGGAAACCAGTACACACAGAATTAACTTATTCCGTACTAACATGGTTTTCGAACCAATCTGGGAAGGATTTAATAGCTTCTTTCTCTGCTTCTAGCATGGTTACACGCCTTCCTCGAGTTTTTTGAGCATTTTCCACGTAACTTCTGTAGATGAAAATAAAGTCAATGTCACTCTGTAGAACCAACAGTAGAGTTTCAGAAGTTGGTGTCATTGAACTGCAGTTTATAACATTTAAGTTTAATCACCTCCTATATGCCATTGACTTATCACAATTGGCTAAAACATACGATCGTGCAATCTCCCAATCGTGGTTGTCAAGATGATAATCTTCCCGTATACCAAGTGAATGGCCGGTGGCACAAAATATGTCAAAGTCGCCCTCATGGTCAGGCCGTAATATATCTGCATTTCGGCTTGGACGGTTCAAACGTGTCTCCACGCCTTCCAAGTACATCGCACAAAAAGACAAGCACTCCTCAGCCAGATATCCTTGGGTCATGCTTCCCTCTGGTCGATTTTTATTTCGAACATATCTTCAACGTAAGCAGGAACCTAATTTAAATAGTACAACATCAAAATTGTTGTTCTAAATAGTATGATGCACAGATGTAATACCCATAGAAACATACTAAAAGTTAAGGAATACCTCTCAATTGGGTACATCCATCTGTAGTGCACCGGACCTGCAAGTGCAGCTTCCTCGGCAAGATGTATTGTGAGGTGAAGACTGACGATAAAGAACGCAGGGGGTAATATCCTTTCCAATTGGCATAGGATCATCACTATTTTGGGTGTAAGTTTGCGAAAGCCTTCCACTGACCCTTTTTTAGTACACAAATGTCTGAAGAATGCACTTAGTTCTAATACTATCTGTGCAGTCCCAGATGGGAGGCTTTTGCGTATGGCAATTGGAAGGAACTGCTGCATTAAAACGTGCCAATCATGACTTTTAAGTCCCCTTATGATCTTTTCCCTTACATGCACAAGACGTGAAATATTGGACGAGTAATTGTCAGGCACTTTTTATTGAGGCTAAGACCTTGCAAAACAATTCCTTCTCTAATGGTTTCATAGTATATGCACCGGGAGGCATCTTTGGCTTTCCATTGACAAATTTGATCTGCAACTCCGGTTTCATGCCCATCAATTCCAAGTCCAACCTTGCATTCATGTTATCCTTGCTTTTCCCAACAATACCCAGCAGCGTTGCAACCAAACTTTCAGTTACATTTTTTTTCAATGTGCATGACATCAAGGCAGTGTCGAAGGACAAGATGTTCCCAATACGGCAATTGGAAGAAAAATACTATGTTTCTTCCATGGCCCAACCGTTGGTGTAGGTGGTGGTCTTTTGTCTCCAACCAGTTTCCGTGGCGTCTTACCATATTTGAACCGTAAAGTGGACAACCGCCGAAGGCATTCACGTCCGGTCATAGGGGAAGGTGCTTGCTCTCTTTCGTCAGAAAGATTAAAGGCTTTCCTTTGTCGACGAAAAACATGTGACATGGGCAAGAAACGACGGTGACCCCTATAACAATATTTCCTACCCTTTTTGAGATATGTCGACTCGGTGTTGTAGTTGCAATGAGGACATGCTAATTTCCCATGTGTGCTCCAACCAGACAAGTTCCCATAGGCGGGGAAGTCGCTAATAGTCCACAAAACAGCTGCTCGTAAGGTGAAGGTCTCTTGCCTAAACGTATCATAAGTGGGAACCCCGGAGGTCCACAATACCTTCAGCTCGTCTATTAATGGTTGAAGGTATACATCAATATCATTTCCCGGAGATTCTTTGCCCGGTATTAACAAAGCCATCAATATGAAAGGTGATTTCATACACAACCAAGGTGGTAAATTGTATATGGTCAACAATACTGGCCATGTGCTATAGTCGGTGCTGCATTTTCCGAAGGGGTTGAATCCATCACTTGCCAACCCAAGACGTACATTGCGCATTTCCTCACCAAATGTTGGAAATTTCAAATCTAATTGCTTCCATGCAAAGGAATCAGCTGGATGTCTTAAGTAGCCATCCTCGGGCCGAGAAAGACCATGCCAACACATATCTTCACTGGTGTGTCGAGACATGTAAAGCCGTTGCAAGCGGGGTGTAATAGGAAAATATGTTAACACCTTCCGAGGTATTCTCTTTTTACTGCTTGGCGCTGTGTCATCTACCTCGGTTGTATATCTAGACACACCACATGTAGGACAAACATCTAAACCACTGTTATGTTTCCAATACAACATGCAGTCATTTTCACATGCATGGATCTTTTGGTAAGGCAACATGAAATTTTTCAGCAATCCCTTTGTACTCATCACCTTCTTCGGTAAAGAATGACCATTTGGGAGTATATGTTTGAGAAGCTGAAGATTAGCTTGTACTGCACTTTCGCTGCACCCATATAAGCACTTGTTTTGAAATACTCGTATTAGAAAATCCATTTTCTTCATACCACATCCCGGATATAATTCCGTATTTGCATCTTGCACCATGGCTTCAAACTTACGTGCATATACAGGTATTGAAGCTTCCTGCTCGCTGTGATTATTAATAGGCATGCCACCCATCACACTGGGACCAGAGAAAATATCTTCAAGCAAGGGGCGTAGTTCAGAATGAGAAGTATTAATAGCAGCAAGTTGTTGTGCAGCTTCGCTACTTGGAAGAGGGTCACCAAATGTCTCTCCATGCCATACCCACGAGCCTTGCAAGTATGAACGGTCCATACCTTCAACAATTAGATGCGCTTCGACTTCTTTATTACTCAACCAGAACCTATTCAAGCATTTAGCACACAGACATTTGATGTTCCCCTCATGAGAAGCAACTTCCAATGAGTTTGAGATAAATTTTGCTAGCCCTGTTCTGTAATCCTCTGTAAACGGATTGAAAGAGGCCCAACTTTTGTCCATCATCACTGAGTATAATCAATAGTTTCTAGAATTGGAACAACAAGGTGCCTAAAGATGAAAAAGGCAAGTAAAATATGTAACGTAAACAAATTAAGTAAATATAGTATGTGAATACTATATGGACAGAATTTACATAAGCAACTGCAAGGGAGAGTATATTATTTTAGAAATCAATTTTTGTAAGTGGGAAAACAACTCCAATCGCATTTATGAGTGACATTGTATATATGAGTCTTGCACAGGATTTTAGGGTGCAGGGGATAGTAAGAAGGTCATAAAAGTCACCAAAAGAAGTTAAGGAAAAAGTTCATATACTGAGTAATGTCGGTCAGGCAGTCATTAGTTTAAAATGTAGAGGTATTTAGTATGTTTTGTATACAACATTTGTATAGTATTTGTAGGAATGTGAATCGTGTTTCATTCCAAATTTGTATCTATGTATAGATGTTTAAGTGTTCCATTCTAGAATGGTTAAAAGTCCATTGTTCAAAACCTCACATATCTTGATTTGCACCATTTGATAAAAAGGCACGAATTGAAGGAAGATATATTTACCAAATGATTATTCACAGAAAAGCACAGTTACGAAATGATTATTCACAGAAAAGCACTTTTACCAAATAATCAGGCAAGCATTTGAATTGTATTCATTCTAAAAACAACTGAAACACAAGTTAAAATAAATAAACAGATAGATAGGCTTAAGCACTAGATTGCAAATATTTCCCTGAAGCTTATAAAATTAGGTGCGGAAGAAGTTAGGGACAGGAAGAGATGCAGGAACCTTGAAGTGGAGTTGAAGGGATTCTTCAAGACGTAATCCGTGTACAGCTCATAGATATGTTTCAAGAGACCTTCCATGTGCTGTGTCCCAGGCTCAGAGACAACAAAGAACTTTGTCCCTGCAAATAATGAAGGTATATCATCACTTTCACAATCCAAGACATTGTAAAAATTTATAGTAAATTTTTTTCTTCCCAGGATAAATTGAACAGCCACAGGAAAAATGAAATTGAGACCAACATCCTGTTCGATAAAAAAGTCCCAATTCAAAAGGAAAAAAAGCCAAGCCCAAAATAACAGACTCAATTACTCTAAAAACAGAAAACAATAAAACTTGTCAACACTGAAACAAACAGTAACTTCGTGCTGAACACTTTCTAAACCAGGCAGATGGACCCGAGTCGACATCCTAGATACTAAACCAACTCATTCGCCTTACAAAATTCAAGTATAGCAGTTGTCAAGACGTGTAATATGTACGGTAAGCTTGTATCATTAGAGCTACTTTTTGCTTAAGAAGTATAGCAGTTGTCAAGACGTGTAATATGTACGGTAAGCTTGTATCATTAGAGCTACTTTTTGCTTAAGAAGAAAAACAAACGAGTAAAATGGTATCATAGCAGAAAGTACAGAACACAGAAAACCCAATATTCACTACAATAATATGACGCAAGTCAAAGCGGATTGGTAGATATAGAAACTAGAAGGAGCAAAACAAAAGGTTTCACCCTTTCTATAACCAGACCAAAGAAGATCCTAATTATGTGGAAATTGATAACATCACACAAGATCATGTAGAGGAAAACACTTGTCCATAGCCCATCTTCAAAATACAGAACCACAAGATAGATGTTGCCGTTGACACCAAATGGCTTACAAGAAAGCACCACCATTAGTTGTGTCAATTAACGGATCAACTCACTCAATCCCAATATTTAGCAGTCACCACACTTGCGAAACTCTCGTTGTGTACCCATTTTCCAAATTACAAAACCACAAGACATCTGTTGCGAAAATCGTACACTAAATGGCTTATAAGAACACTGCCATTCAACTTGCTCGATGACAATATTTAGCATTCACGTCAGTTATGAATTTATTCCCCCACCCCCGGTAATAACTATCATCCGCTAGATTACATCGTAAAGTGGTCCTAAACTACTGCAATGCACAACATAACTCACAAGTAGGACTAGCAACAGATAGATAACAATAATAGGCTTAAACCCTGTATGGTTTCCAGATTGTTCCAACTTCAACAGATAGAAGAAGCACTTCAAACTGAACTAACAAAAAACTCCAACAGAATCGCAGACATAATAAACAAATTGAAATGTTTAGTCTAAAAAATGCTGAATATTGAATTTGTGGAACACAAAATTACCTGTTTAGACTCCCCAAAATCAATCCAGTTGGTTGCAACCCCAAATTGATTGCAAGAAACCCAGCTGATAATAAATAATGAACTGAGGAGCTTAATTTGCTGAGAAATTGACAGGGCAAGGTATGCGAAGCAAATACCCAGCCGCGTGGGAGCGGACTTCCGTTGACCCCTCGAGTCGCCAACTAAACGAGGCCACTAAGCTTCTTGTCCGCTACGCCCTGTCCGCATTGCCCGACTGGGACTGGTTCGCAGAACCGGTCGACTTCATCACTGATGCAATAATGGCCGATACATGCGAGTAGGGTCGAAGGCTCTGTCCTTCTATGGGTTTTGGCTCTATCTCCCTTTTGTATTAGATGTGCATCCGTAGGTCCTGATAAGCAAAGATATATCCCAGCTTTATAAACAAAAAAATTAACCTGCCCTGCCACACAAAATAAATTAAAAAATACATATGAAATTAAAAAGTAGAAGGAAATACAATTTAAGAAATAAAAATATTTAACAGTCACCAATGATTGGTGGCTGAATCTTGAAGGCGACCAACATCAGTGGCATCCCATGGTAAAGCCACCAAAAAATTGTAAGAGTAGCAACTTTACATATATGGCCACCAATTGCAAAGGGTGGGAAAAAAATGGTGGCCTATGAGCCAAATTCTAGTAGTGATTACACTAACTGATTACATTGTCGATCATATTTCTTTTAATTATCAGATTAACTTGTATACTATAAGTCTATAACGATATGAACAAATGTGGTAGAACTAATTTGATTGAACACTAGAATGAGGTAGCTATTGTTGAAGAATGTAAAATATTTCACTCAAAAATTTGATAGAATATATGTTTTATTGAAAACCCGAATATGATAGGAATTAACTTAATATATGCATTTGGGGAAGAAAGAAAGAGAAAGGTATGCTTAATTATTATTTTTTATTCAAGTGATACATCTAATCCTCAAACTTGAATGTCCATGTAAAACAAATTACTGTAAGTGTTTTTAAAATAATTGAAAGCACTTTTAGAAAAAATATTTTTTTGGTTCCAAAAGCGCGTGAAGTGCTTTTTATAAGAAGAACTAGTTACGCGCTTCTTGTAGGAAGCACTTTTAAGTGTTTTTCAAGAATTCACTTGCATTTTTATTAATTAAGGTTGATCCTAAATATATTTTTACCAAAAACGTTTTAAACTATTTTAAAAACATTTTCAAATGAGTCCTTAACTACGAATCTAGGGCCATGTCTGAAGCCTGCAGGTATCATTAACTTCGGTTTAATGGAAATCAAATTCTATCTTTCCGAATCAGATATATGTGTATAAAGATCTAAAAATTCTTAGGTCACTTCTAATATTAAAATTATAGACCACCGCCGCAAAGACAGAAAGAGAGAGGTGTACGTAGTCTGGAGTTTGGACGCAATGAAAGCAAGGAATGCTGTCCTTTTTCCACATGTTGAAACCCCAATAAGCCACCAACCGAAACTTGACATGCATTCCAGCCCACAGCACCCATCATGCATCATCCATGCAGAAATATTAAGTTTGGAATATCCAAGATCGAATGCCTGCCTCCATCTTCATTTCCCACAAGGAAAACCTGTTATTTTTTCTGACTTCTTCAGCTAGCTAATTGGTATACTTCCCCTATATAATCCTTGAGCCATTTCCATATCTATATACAAAGCATTACACTGATCATTTTAATTAAGACGCAAAGCAAGCTCTTAATTAAGTTGTTGGTATAAAGTTCAGTTTGTATTAGTTGATCATTGATGGCAGATATCAGAGGATCAATGAGAGCTATGGGAGAGAGATTACTGCCATCGACACCCACACCCATGCTCGAAAAGATTGTTCCTTCCTCAGACTGGACAGAAGACTGCAATGGCCATTACCTTCTCGTTGATCTTCCAGGTACTGCAATATTACAGCATCTAATTGTTCTCTTAATGTTTTATTGTTTCATTTCTTTAAGAAAAGCATAATGCATGTGTGCATGCTCTAATATTCGACTCCTATAAAATAGGCATATAATTATATCCTATAGAAATTAGCTATGTGTGTTGACATGAATTTATGGTGCTTAACTATATAACCGTGTCTTAGATTTTAAAAAGGAGGAGGTCAGGCTTGAGGTGAATATCTCAGCTGGCCACATAACAATCAGCGGAGAAAGGCAAGTGAACGAAAAGAAAACCGAGTATTTTAAGCAGAAGTTTACCCTTCCACCAAACTCAGATGTTGATAAGATCACCGGAAAATTTGACGGTGAGATTCTCTATGTCACCGTACCAAAGGTGGCAACAGCGGTCGAAGAAAAAAGGAAAGAACCTGAAATAAAGTATGAAAATGTCCAAGGCAGCGCTGCTGCTGTCACGGAACCTCCTCAAATAGGGAAGAATGAAAATGTGGAAGGCTTAAGACGCAAAAATGAAGGAGAGCAAGGCTCAAACAAAGTTGATGGCATAAAGTATGGAGAGATAAGAAAATTATTAGGAGGAGGAAATGGGCACATATTCTTTTCTGCAGAAGATATAAGGAAATGGGAGGAGGAAGGAGGGAATATTATAAAGACTGCAATGGAGATGTTGAACAAAAACAAAGGGATAGTTTTGACTGCTGTGGTTGCATTTTCATTAGGGATGCTAGTTTCTCGTAAGTTCCAATCAGCTGGAGAATGAGCTGATTAAGGCTAATTAAGCTGTGTGTTAACTGTTAATTAAGTTACATCACATCGTATGGTTGTTGATATAAATGTACAGAATAAAGATTTCAATAAATAATAAGTTAGTCCTCAGCTATATTTCTATGATTGAAGGTTTAATCTCATTTGCGTTTTGTCCTAAAATATTTTGAGCGTGATGATCACACTGTCACATGGTGTTGTGAATCTTATTTCTTTTGCCCGACTTTGTTGTTGGATGGCAATATCCATTTGGGTGAGATTGGGTTGGCCGGGCTGTTAGTGCTCGCCGAAATCCGCAATGTTGGCCGTCACTGTTGCCGGAATTGTTATTATTGGAAAAATAAAAATACACAAAATAAACACATTTAGCTTGTAATCAACTTCCATTGCCATCTCTCCTCTCAGTTTCTTTAATTTCCTTAATTCCCTTATCTTTTGTTCAAATTTTTTCTCAAAAGAAAATTTTATTTATTTTTCTATATTAACGGGTATGAAACCAGACCTACCAGACTGCTAGGGTTTGAAGTAATGGATTTAATTTTCAGGGCAGGGTAGGGCGAGTTTCCATGGTTAATTAGTTTCTTTGTGTATTTCAGAATTATAGTGGGAGATGGTTGTGCAGAACTAGATTAACTAAATGAAGCAAAGAAATGCGAATGAGAAGTGGGGAGGGAAGAGAGGGGAGCCCCTCTCTCCTTTCCTTTCAACGGTTGAAATTCTTATTTCCCTTCTAATTTTTTATGCTATTTGGATTAGCTTTAGTTATTTTCTCTTTTTTTTCTTTACCTTCTAATTTTATACAATAAATTAGAAGGGAAAATAACTAAAGCTCCTCGAGAGAGTTACTAATAGTCAACATCCAAAAAAGAAAAAAAATTGTAGATCGGATAAAACCTCCACAAATGTTGTCTAAAGTATCATGCAACTCTATAGAGCGAGGTAGATATATATATATATATATATATATATACACGTACTACATTAATTTTGTTGATCACATTTTGTTAATTATCAGATTTAACGAACACTTTTATACTTTTTTTTCCATACTCACACCACTTTTAAAAATACAGGTTATCAAACGTTGAACAAGTTAATTTTACTGCTAATTATTCTTAAAGCACAACATAATCAGTTTTTTTTTTTTTTAAACACAGCAAACCCAACTGGCCTTACCATGTATATATATATTGTCTATAATGATATTAACAAATGTGGTAGAAATAATTTGAGAGAATGAGGTAGCTATAAATTGTTGAAGAATGTAAAATGCTCCACATCAAAAAATTGATGGTACAAAATTATTTTATTGAAAACCAGAATATGATAGGAATTAACTTAAAATATATATTTGGGGAAGAAAGAAAGAGAAAGTTATGCTTAATTATTTTTTTTCATTCAAGTAAAACACGTAACCAAGTTAACTACGAGTGCCTAGGGCATGTCTGAAGCCTGCATGTATGATTAACTTTTGTATAATGAAAATCAAAATCTATTTTTCCAAATCAGATATGTGTAGCAAGATCTAAAAATTCTTAGGTCATTTCTAATGTTAAAATTATAGACCACCGCCGCAAAGACAGAAAGAGAGAGGTGTACGTAGTCTGGAGTTTGGACGCAATGAAAGCAAGGGATGTTGAAACCCCAACAAGACACCACCCGAAGGTTGACGTGCAGTCCAATCGACAGCAGGCATCATCATGTCATCATGCATCATCCAGGCAGAAAAATTAAGTTTGGAATAACCAAGATCGAATGCATGCCTGCCTCCATCTTCATTTCCCACAAGGAAAGCCTAGGTTCTGATAAAATCATGACTTCTTCAGCTAGCTAATTGGCATCCTTCCTCTATATAATCGTTTGATCTAATTTGTTATTTATATACACAGCATTACGCTGATCATTTTAATTAGGGACAATTTGGATGCGGTCCCTAGTTATCAATATTCTTTGATTGAAACCTTGTTAGTTTTTAGTTTTTTATTGAAGTCCCTGACATTAATGTAATAATGTAAGTTACTATATTTTTTAAATTAAAAATTGAAATTTCTAATTGTTTATATTAATGAGATTTTAAATAAAACCCATAATTTATGGGATTAAAAATAATAAAATATAAATTATACTCTCTATTATATTGTGTGTGTGTGTGTGCATATATGTATGGGTACATTAACCAAAATTAACAAAAAAAGTTGTTGTACCAAAACATGGATACATTCTCAAATCAACGAAAAAAGAATGTACCCATATAAGTTTAAACATGGATTAAAAAATTTGAATGGATTTTATATTAAAAAAGGGTACGTTTTACATATAACAAATTGATATATTTGAGAATGGGTACATTGATGATTAAAAAAATTGAAAAATTATATGAATGGGTACATTGAAGATTAAAAAATTGAGAATCTTTATATATATATAAAAATAAACTAATAGGTACAAACTTAATTTAATTTAATTTTTTTATTATTTTGAAAATGTTTGAATTGAAAATTAATTAGAAGTTTAATAGAAGTGTGAGTATTAAACCCTAAATTAATTACTAATATTTATATTAAAAAATTATATAATAAACATGTAAATTCATTATTACATTAATGCTAGGGACTTGAATCAAAATTTGAGAACTAATAAGGTCTTAGTCAATGAACAATAAGAACTAGGGACCGGATACTAATTTTTCCTTTTAATTAAGACGCAAAAGCAAGCTCTTAATTAAATTGTTTCTATAAGGTCCAGTTTGTATTAGTTGATCGTTGATGGATCAAGCGTCAGAGAACTCCATGTTAAAACCAGAGGATTCCCACGCGAACACAGGTGCAAAACGATTGTTCCTTCCTCAAAATGGACAGAGGACTCCAACAACCATTGCCTTCTCATTGATATCCCAGGTACTGCAATATTACAGCATCTAATTGTTCTCTTAATGTTTTATCGTCTCATTTCTTTAAGATAAGCATAATGCATGTGTGCGTGCTCTAATATTTGACTCATATAAAACAGACATGACTAACGCAGGTCACGTGGTGTTACAGTCACATAATTATATCGTAGAAATTAGCTATATTTGTTGACATAAATTTATGGTGCTTAAGTATGTAACTGTGTCTTAGGTTTTAAAAAGGAGCCTATCTGTTACATGAATTCAGCTGGCGAAATATCAATCATGGGATCGAGGGAAGTGAACGAAACAACATCCGAGCATTTTGTGGAGAATTTTACCCTTCCACCAAACTCAGATGCCAGTAAGTACACCGTAAAATTTGTCAATGAGATTCTGTATGTCACCGTACCAAAGGTGGAACCCAAAAATGAAGGAGAGCATGGCTCAAACAAAGTTGATGGCATAAAGTATGGCGATATAAGAAACTTACTAGGAGAAAATGGGCACATATTCTTTTCTGCAAAAATAAGGAAACGGGAGGAGGAAGGAGGGAATATTATAAGGACTGCAATGGAGATGTTGAACAAAGACAAAGGAATAGTTATGACTGCTGTGGTTGCATTTTCATTGGTGATGCTGGTTTATCGTAAGTTCCAATCAGCTGGAGATTAAGGCTAATTAAGCCATGTGTTAACTATTAATTACGTTACCTCACGTCGTATGGTTGTCGATATAAACGTTCAGAATAAGAATTTCGATGAATAAGATATATCGCCAACTATATTTCTACGGAAGAATGGTTTAATCTCGTCTGATTTTGTTGTTTCAGCTTCAGCCTTGCGACCGTACTCCTTCCGAAACCCTAAAGCTTTGACATTAGTCGTTTAATAACAGTGGTTGAATAAGGCGCAGCGACCAATGCTTGTGTTCTTAAATACTTTTGAGTGTGACGATCACCCTATCATATGGTGTTGCTAATTCTATTTTTGTCGTCCGACATTGTCACTGGGCGGTAATATCCATTTGGGTGAGACTTGGGCTGGGCTGTTTGTGGATGTGGATATAGTTTCACAAACACAGTACAATAGGCCCAAAATGTGAGATTGGGCATGTAAACCTAGGGGTGGAAAAAATTCCTGAAAAATCCCAAACCGAACCGAAAAAATCCCGATCCCAAACCAAAAATTTCCCAAACCGAAATTTTGGTACGGAATTCAAGATTGGCTTCTCGATATTTCGGGAATCCCATACCAAACCGAAAATATATAATATTAATTATTATATATATATATATATATACACATGTATATTATATATATTATTCTTTTATAATTGATGCTAGTAGTTTCTAATTTATGCTCCGCAATCTGAATGCCCTACACCTTGCATATTTTTCATGTTCTGTTTGATATTCATTTGGATTTTATTATTGCTGCTGCCATGACTAATGATTTCAGAATGCTTGATTCTTTTGTCTCTCAATAGATTGCAAAAAGAGTTTAATTAATTTGAATTTTGACTCTGATAAAAACAGTCAGGCATGCCAGTTTTAGATTAAATGGTAATGTGAATGAAATGACATTCCTAGTTCATGAATGTTTTCTTGAATTATATATTTGAAAAACAATTCATAATTTCATATTTCAATTTGTAATTCCCAATTTGTCCCGAAATTTCGAAAATATTTCAGAATTCCCGAAAATTTGATTTGGAATTGGTCTTTAAATTCCCGTCCCGAAAAATTTCGATTTGAGATTCGGAATACTAATTTCGGTATGGTATCCCATACCGAACTATCCCTATGTAAACCACAGTTGCATAGATGAAAGATGAGAAGTGAAAAGAGAGAGAGGCAAAAAAGCATGCTAAAAACAGAAGGGCATCGATTCAAAAACGACTTTATGATGTAAGTAGGCAGGCAGGCAGGATCGGATTCTTTAAGCAAGCAAACCCACCAATTCAAAAAGTCACAAAGACGACCACATCACCGTGATGCGGGATTGAGAAGCTTCTTTGGGATGCGCGCCCAAAAGATCTACTCACTCGTATTTATCCACCTGAAGCCCTAAAGATATCTAGGAGTTTAAAGACATTTTCCATTTTGGCCCATCGCTAAAATGTATGTCATATGTTATTATATAAATTAAAAAGTTTTATTTTTTAGTGTTCATCTATTGATATAATAATATATGATGTGTGTGTTCTTGTTTTGAGCATATTAAAATCTTTATTTACTATAGTGACATACGCACAAATATATAATTAGTAAGTATCCCACCGGACCCAGCACACATTGCAAGCCGCGTAATTTCCTTCATCATACAATTTCTATACCACGTGAGATGCTAGCATAGTTTTGGTCTCCAAGTTTAAAGGTACGTCAATTTAGAACCAGTGATCCCGAGAAATGCATTAGCGGGAGTTCGAATTCAGGTTGAAAATTTTATACTTTACACGCTTTTCACTAGACCAACTCCTTCGGCTTAACTAGTTAAAATTTTTTAATCAAAAGTAAAATTGAAAAGATTTTAAACACAAACAATAAATTACATATGAGTACAAATTTATCACTCTTTTATTGTATGTTTTATGTACCCTCAAGTAGTCACTTTTTATTGAGCTTGTATATATAAAAACGGTAGTGATGAGTAGGCGTGACAATTTCTTATACAATCCGTTGACTTGACAAGAAACGGTACGAAAATAACAAGTTTCAGGTCAACTTGTTAACAAGTCAGGTCGTTATCAGGTAACTCGTTAAAAACCCTTTAACATGTCAAGTTGTTATGGGGTTACTCGTTAAGAACTCGATAAGATATCGTTTTTCAAATTTAGTCATTAGGCACAACAATTTCTTGCATGACTTGATAACCCGACATAAAACGACACAACCCGTTAACGAATTAGCTCGTTACTTAGTTACCTGATAAAACTCGTTAAAATAACGGGTTTAACATGACACAACCCGTTAAGATAATAAGTACTAAAACAAATGACACAAGCATGACAAATATGACTCTTTTGCCAGGCCTAGTGGTGAGTCCAGGTGCTTCCTTAACACACTTGGCCATACCACGTATAGATATATGGTAACATGGTATGGTCCGTTTGGAATATGAATTAGTTTTTGACAATGGAACGTCGTGTTCATATTTAGTAAGGAGAATAATACATAAAGATGTACTATAAAGGCGATGCTTTGTGACCCGACTTTGTTTCAAAATGTTCTTGCTTTTCACTAAAAGGATAGGCCCATTTTAGTTTTCGAATCATGTGCCTTCTCCACACTACTACAACAACAGTACTACTATGGCATATATCCTATGTGAGGTACCATATCACCAATGTTCATGAGACCACCCACCCACCCGATATCGGATTTAGGATTTGAATTTTGAAGGGTCATAGTGTTAAAGTACAGGTTTTTTAGGCAGAGACAAGGCGCTAAACGTGTAAAAAAAAAAGTTTATTAACTAAGGCATTTCGTCAAACATTTGATAAGCTTGTTGTTGTTAACCAAATCATAATGCGCACATATCAACAGATTTTGACATATGCCTAGCAAATATTGTAATAAACATGCCAAACATTCGGAAAGTACTCGAAACTCGGAAGCTCTGCACATGCATATTTTCCGTACTCTAAGTGGTTCTAGGAGGCTAGGACCACATTGGTCCTAATGGTCTAAAATATCCATAATATCCCGATATTTCCATCGAAATTTCCGTGTTTTTGGACTACCGATATTTTTTTGGACTACCAATATTTCTGATATCATCGATATTTTAGACCTTACTAAGTAACTCATGTATCTTACCATGCAATGTATAAAGTGTAAAATATTGTACTAATTCATTATATATAAATGATTATGGTGTGTTTAAACTTCTTTCATTAATTACTATATATTTTCTACACTCACAATGTTTGTCAGCTCGTTATATAATCAACTTAAATCAGTTATATCTATCATGCAATGCATTTTCTTCCAATTTTTTGTTATAAACCAATAGATAATTGATTAAATAAACATCCTGCAAAGTTTCAATAAAAATTTCCAAGTTTTTCTTACAATTTCCGTGGTTTTTATTCAATTTTTATCGATATTGATAATATCCCGATATTTCCATCGAAATTTTCGTGTTTTTAGACTACCGATATTTCTGATATCATCGATATTTTATACATCCAACCGTGTCGATAGGCTCAAGTAATTTTCAATCCGACGCATGACACTGTCATGCAACATTGTTAATCTACGTTACTGTCGTTTACTCTTGCACCAAAAATATCATATATTAATGGGAACTTTAACGAAAAGCACCCGGTAATGTTCACTTTAACGAAAAACCACATTTTTACACTAAAAAGTCAATCCTGGTACTATTCACTTTACCTTTTATTTTGTCCTTATCATTAAAACTCAAAGTTTTCAAGTCTTTTTCATTAATTTTCCTTATATTAATAGAATCACGTCGTTCTTATGTTTTCTTTATTAAAATTGTGATGATCCCCAAATTCGTTTGGAGGGAATATATTTTTGATTGGCATGCAAGGCTGGTCTTAAATAAAAGCATACATTAAATAAAGAGATGTAATATCTACACACCCTATTTTACTTCTCACATACCTTCTTAATTTTCAATCGTCGGATTGGATGAATGGAAGAATATCAAAGGACAGAAATTATCAAGATGTGTGTGAGAAGTAAAAATGGGTGTGTGGATAGCATACCCCTAAATAAAAAGAAGTATTATTGTCACTCCAAAAATCTTATTCTACACTCCTCACAATTGTATTTTTCTTTCTTAATATAGAAAGCTTAGAGTGTAGAATGAGATTTTTGGAATACTAATAACAATTTCCTAAATAAATAAATTATAAAAATAAAAAAATATAAACAAAAAAAAAGATAGGAAGGGAGGGATGTGTGAATTATAGATAACGAACCCAATAAAGAAGCAATTCCAAAAGTGAATTGAAAACCTTCGCGGGTGAGAATGGAATCTAATCTCTCGCCCCCACTCCAACCAAACCAAAAAAACATTCCCTTCTCTCCATTATCATTTACCTTTCGTAAAAGTAAAAAAATTTCACGTTGGTAAAAATAAAGTAAAAAATAAAAAAAAATCTAGTAATGTTATATAAGTTGTTAAGTTATTTCTTATATTACCAATTGGTTTTATGATAGAACTTCAACTTTCTTCCTAATATTAGAGCAAATTGACCTATGTATAAAACCCAACGGCTGCATGTACTCTACGTCACCTAATTTGTGTTGTTTACACGTTTGGCTAAAAAATTCGCTAGAAATCCTTATAATGACTTCTTCATGGTACGAGTCTATGAGAGTAGGTTGTTCAACGTGGGAGCTTAAATACCATACGTGCTCAACGTCACCCAATATATGTTGTCGCTAACTTGCGGAGTTTCAATTTTTTTTTCTCACATTCTAATTTATGGTGTGAAAAATAAATAAATATTAAATACAAAGAGAAAATAGTATGTTAAGTAGAGAAAGAAGCGTGCGAGTTGCAAAAATTCAAAAAAGCGCAGGCACAGCTCAAAAGCAGAACCTGAAAAACCCATCAGTCACACGCACCGTATCCCATTTCTCTCTCCCGCTATCAACGCGCAATTAACCAACTTTTCTGTCCCGAAACCTCCAAATTCCCTCTATCGTTTTTCAACACCAAAACTGACAACATCCAGGATGAGAACATGACGGTGTCGTTTCAAGTCGTCCAAAACCATCCACCGCCGCAACCA